CTTTATGGCCTGGAACAGCTTCTGCTTTGCATTAGCGGGGCCGCTCCTTCCCCTCCAGAGCCCTTATCCAATCAGCCGCCATTAGCCCGGCTCCAGGCCGGCTGCGCCAGGGAGCCCCGAACCCAGGCCTGCGCCTCCCCAGGGCCAGCTCCACCGCGGGGCTTCTCATGGCCCTGATCCAGGCACGACCTTGGCCCTCCGCCGGCATCCACCAGCCAGGGAGCGACTGGCCACCAGCCCCTGGCAGACAGTGCTGGGCTCAGCCCCAGAGCGACGCTAGGGGGCGCTGTGCAGGGAGCGGGGCAGGGTCTCACTGGGGGGTGCTGGGCTGCGGGGAGGGGGAGGAGGCTCTGTGGGGGGTGCTGGGCTGTAGGGAGGGGGAGGGGGTTCAGTGGGGGGCGCTGGGCTGCAGGGAGGGGGTTCAGTGGGGGGCGCTGGGCTGCAGGGAGGGGGGCAGGGGCACAGCGGGGAGCTCTGTCCTGGGGAGCAGAGACTCTGAACAGCGTTGGGGGCGTGGTGGGGAATGAGCTGGGCGTGAGCCCCTGTGCAACACTGTGACCAGAAGAGCTAATCAGGGGAATCTGGAGCAGCAGAGAGCTGATTTCCCCGCTGCGTCCGGCACTGGGGCGACCGCAGCTGGGATCCAGTGCCCAGCTCTGGGGCCTGAAATTCACGAAGGGCGACCGGTCTGGTGGATAATTGAAGAGGCATGAGAATGAACAAAGGGTTAGAAAACCTGTGCAGTGCCCCATACCAGCACCATGCAGTGCCCTGTGCAGTGCCCCATACCAACAACACGCAGTGCCCTGTACAGTGCCCCATACCAGCACCATGCAGTGCCCTGTGCAGTGCCCCACACCACCACCACGCAGCGCCCCGTGCAGCGCCCCACACCAGCACCACGCAGTGCCCCGTGCAGTGCCCCATACCAACAACACACAGCGCCCTGTGCAGTGCCCCATACCAACAACACGCAGCGCCCTGTGCAGTGCCCCATACCAGCACCACGCAGCGCCCTGTGCCGTGCCCCATACCAGCACCGTGCAGCGCCCTGTGCCGTGCCCCATACCAACAACACGCAGCGCCCTGTGCCGTGCCCCATACCAGCACCACGCAGCGCCCTGTGCAGTGCCCCATACCAGCACCGTGCAGCGCCCTGTGCAGTGCCCCATACCAGCACCGTGCAGGGCCCTGTGCCGTGCCCCATACCAGCACCACGCAGCGCCCTGTGCCGTGCCCCATACCAGCACCATGCAGTGCCCTGTGCCGTGCCCTGTGCCGTGCTCCATACCAGCACCATGCAGCGCCCTGTGCAGTGCCCCATACCAGCACTGTGCAGCGCCCTGTGCAGTGCCCCATACCAGCACCGTGCAGCGCCCTGTGCCGTGCCCCACACCAGCACCACGCAGCGCCCTGTGCAGTGCCCCACACCAGCACCACGCAGCGCCCTGTGCCGTGCCCCATACCAGCACCACGCAGCGCCCTGTGCAGTGCCCCACACCAGCACCACGCAGCGCCCTGTGCAGTGCCCTGTGCCGTGCTCCATACCAGCACCATGCAGTGTCCTGTGCAGTGCCCCATACCAGCACCACGCAGTGCCCTGTGCAGCGCCCCACACCAGCACCACGCAGCGCCCTGTGCCGTGCTCCACACCAGCACCCCGCAGCGCCCTGTGCCGTGCCCCACACCAGCACCACGCAGCGCCCTGTGCAGTGCCCCATACCAGCACCACGCAGCGCCCTGTGCAGTGCCCTGTGCCGTGCTCCATACCAGCACCATGCAGTGCCCTGTACAGTGCCCCATACCAGCACCATGCAATGCCCTGTACAGTGCCCCATACCAGCACCATGCAGCGCCCTGTGCCATGCCCCATACCAGCACCACGCAGCGCCCTGTGCAGTGCCCCATACCAGCACCGTGCAGCGCCCTGTGCCGTGCCCCATACCAGCACCACGCAGCGCCCTGTGCCGTGCCCCATACCAGCACCATGCAGTGCCCTGTGCCGTGCCCTGTGCCGTGCTCCATACCAGCACCATGCAGCGCCCTGTGCAGTGCCCCATACCAGCACCGTGCAGCGCCCTGTGCCGTGCCCCATACCAGCACCGTGCAGCGCCCTGTGCCGTGCCCCATACCAGCACCACGCAGCGCCCTGTGCAGTGCCCCACACCAGCACCACGCAGTGCCCTGTGCCGTGCCCCATACCAGCACCACACAGCGCCCTGTGCAGTGCCCCACACCAGCACCACGCAGCGCCCTGTGCAGTGCCCTGTGCCGTGCTCCATACCAGCACCATGCAGTGCCCTGTGCAGTGCCCCATATCAGCACCATGCAGTGCCCTGTGCCGTGCTCCACACCAGCACCCCGCAGCGCCCTGTGCCGTGCCCCACACCAGCACCACGCAGCGCCCTGTGCAGTGCCCTATACCAGCACCACGCAGCGCCCTGTGCAGTGCCCTGTGCCATGCTCCATACCAGCACCATGCAGTGCCCTGTACAGTGCCCCACACCAGCACCACGCAGTGCCCTGTGCCGTGCCCCATACCAGCACCACGCAGCGCCCTGTGCAGTGCCCCACACCAGCACCACGCAGCGCCCTGTGCAGTGCCCTGTGCCGTGCTCCATACCAGCACCCCGCAGCGCCCTGTGCCGTGCCCCACACCAGCACCCCGCAGCGCCCTGTGCAGTGCCCCATACCAGCACCCCGCAGCGCCCTGTGCAGTGCCCCACACCAGCACCCCGCAGCGCCCTGTGCAGTGCCCCACACCAGCACCCCGCAGCGCCCTGTGCCGTGCCCCACACCAGCACCACGCAGTGCCCTGTGCAGTGCCCCACACCAGCACCCCGCAGTGCCCTGTGCCGTGCCCCACACCAGCACCCCGCAGCGCCCTGTGCCGTGCCCCCAGGGCAGCACCGTGCAGTGCCCTGTGCAGTGCCCCATACCAGCACCACGCAGTGCCCTGTGCAGTGCCCCACACCAGCACCCCGCAGCGCCCTGTGCCGTGCCCCCAGGGCAGCACCCCGCAGCGCCCTGTGCAGTGCCCCATACCAGCACCACGCAGTGCCCTGTGCAGTGCCCCACACCAGCACCCCGCAGCGCCCTGTGCCGTGCCCCCAGGGCAGCACCGTGCAGTGCCCTGTGCAGTGCCCCATACCAGCACCACGCAGTGCCCTGTGCAGTGCCCCACACCAGCACCCCGCAGCGCCCTGTGCCGTGCCCCCAGGGCAGCACCGTGCAGTGCCCTGTGCAGTGCCCCATACCAGCACCACGCAGTGCCCTGTGCAGTGCCCCACACCAGCACCCCGCAGCGCCCTGTGCAGTGCCCCCAGGGCAGCACCGTGCCCCACACCACAAGGAACCGCTCTGAGGTGTCCCCGCGGCGCAGCCTCTCAGGAGAGCTGCTCCCCGCCATTGGACAGCAAGCACCGGGGGGGGGGGGGTCTGGGGGGGGTCCGGGTCCCACGTGGCCACAAACCTGCTGCCCAGGACCCGGCTCCGGCGGAGTCTGAAAATCAGGCGCCCCCCCCGCGCAGCCCCGCCCGCTCCCCAGCCCCCCCCCCCGCAGGGCCCGGAGCAGCTGCTGCCCCAGCTGGCAGGGGGCCCGGGAGCCCTGGCGGGGAGCCGCACCGGGCTGGGGGGGCCGGCCTGGGGGCCCCTCCCGCCGCACGGGGGGGCTGGGACCCCGCCGCTGGCCCGGCTCGTTCTCGCTGCTCACGGGCCTGGCCACACGGTGGCGCTGCCTTGCCACAGCTCCGCGCCGGGGCTGCAGGGGGCGCCGGGGGGGCCCGGGGGGGGGGGAGCCCCAGCGAGGGGCCAACTGAGCCCGGCCCCGGCTGGGGGGCACCTGGGCCCACACACCTGCCCCCGAGTCTCCCCCCGGGGCCCTCACCCGGCCCGGCCCCCAACGCGTTTCCCTCCCCCCGCCCCCCAGCAGTGACCTGTGCTCCCCCTGGCCCCCCCAGGCACCCTCCGGCCCCACTCAGACCCCAACCCACGGATCCAGCAGGAAACAGCTGCAGCCCAGCGCCCCCTAGTGCTGCACCGACTGCCGGGGAGAGCGACCCCCACTGCCCCCCGCCCCCCTGCCCTGCCCCCTGCTGCCCAGCGCCCCCTAGTGCTGCACCGACTGCCGGGGAGAGCGACCCCCACTGCCCCCCGCCCCCTGCCCTGCCCCCTGCTGCCCAGCGCCCCCTAGTGCTGCACCGACTGTGGGGAAAGCGACCCCCACTACCCCCCACCACGCCCACCCTGACCCCTGCCCAGCTCCCTGCAGCCCAATGCCCCCTAGCACCCCCTCCCCTGGGGCCAGCCCTGACTGCCAGGGGAGAGCACCCCTTGCTGAGCCACTCCCAGGCTGGACTGGGCCCCACAGCCCCTTGGGGCTGGTAATGCTATTGGGGGAGAGCTGCAGGCGGCCTGCTCCTGGGAGATGGGCTGGTTGGGGGGCAGTGGGCTTGGGGCAGAGGCGTGGAGGGTGGACCCCTCTCTCAGCGCCCTTCCCTGAGCCCCGTTAGAGGGGCTGCTCTGGCCACCGAAGGGCCTGGTCTCCCCCATGGGGTCCTTACAGGCCTGCTGGGACATTGTCCTGGCTGTGGGGAGGTCTCCCAGCAACCTCGACCCCTGAGTCCCGTGGGGCTACACAGCTGGGCTCATGCCCACAGCCCTGGCCAGGTCCCCTGCGCCTGGCTCTGGACCCACAGAGTGAGACAGGACCCCAAGGGTCGTCCAGTCTCACCCCCGGCCAGGATGCATATGAACTGCTCTCTGTCTGCCTGTGGCATGGGGTGCCCGCCCCGCGTCGCTGGCAGCCCCCCCACCCCCTCCCGGGACTGGGGACAGCCTGGCCACGGCCCTCCTGGCTCTCCCCGAGCCCAGAGCTTTGTGCTGCAGCCCCAGCTCTCGCCACGGAACTGGGCTCTGGGCGCCTCGGCCCTGCCTGGGCTCCATGCCCACCCTGGCACCCTGCCACCCGCAGAGCAAGGAGAAGCCGGTGGCGAGAGGTGCAGAGCCCTGACCAGGGGGCGCGTCCCCCTGCCTGGTGGCTGCTGCCCTGGACACAGCTCCGTGCGCTGCGGGAAGGACCAGGGTCCGATCCAGGGCCCCTGCTCCATCCCACCCACTTGTGCCCCCATGGCGGTTTCTGGATAAGCGCCCCTGGACCAGCTGCTGGGCGCAGGCTGTGGGGTCCCACCTGGCCGTGATGCCTCTGCCCCTGGGCCACCTCGCCTGCCTGTAAGCTCCCCGTGCCAGGGGCCGTCGGGGCGGGGCAGTGGCTGGTGGGGATGAGACTAATGCTGCCTCTCTCCTCTCCTGCCAGGTACCTGCTGCTCCTGCCCCTGCAGGTAAGTGCTGCGTCCGGCATGGCACAGCTCTGCCAGGCCAGGGGAGAGGGGCCGGGGATCCCTCTGGCCCAGGGCCCCAGTCCCGGCACTCTCCCTTCGCTTCTACCCCACGGTCCCAGGGGCTTTCAAAGCAAAGTGGAGCCGCAGCAGTTTCCTGGCAGAGTCGGTCCCCGCGGAGCCGCATGCCCAGCCTGGGCACTCGTCCCACAGGGTCAGGGCTGCCCGGCAAAGGGGACTGAACAGCTCGGGGGGGGCTAGTGGCTAGAGTGGGGGTGAGGAGCCAGGTCTCCTGGGTCCTGTCCCCAGCTCTGCGGGGGAGAAGCAAGCAAACAATGTCTGGTTTAAAATGGCTCCATGTAAATGTACATCTGGGATCAAGGGGCAGATTTACAGGCTGGGGGGAAGCAGGGAATGACCAGGAGGTGGGGTCGTGGTGGATAATCAGCTCAACATGGGCTCCCACCATGGTGCTGTGCCCCGACCGGCTGATGTGATCCTGGGATGCAAACAGGAGACTCGAGAGGTGATTTCCCCTCTGGGGCAGGCGCGGCTGGGATCCGGTGCTCAGGGCTGGTGCCCACAGTTCAGGGAGGATGGTGATAACTTGGGGAGGGTCAGAGAAGAGCCCCGGGGACAACTGAAGGGCTAGAAACCTGCCCTGGAGTGAGAGTCGCAGGGAGCTGGGTCTGTCTGGCTTGACACCGAGATGGTTCAGGGGCGCCGTGATTCCAGCCTGCAGGTACCGGGGGGCAGATCTCTGAGAGCGGCCTGTCAGCCTAGCCCAGGAAGGTCGACCGCGGGCCGGTGGCTGGACACGGAAGCTAGAAAAAATCAGCTTGGAACCCAGGGACCGAACAGGAAGGGTTGGGAGCCCTTGGACCATTTCCCAAGGACATGTCTACACTTAAACCGGCGCCATGGCAGTGCTCCAGGGCAGACCGGGGGGGGGAGAGGGGGCTCCCAAGGCTGCAGTAATTCGCTTCTCCCCCCTCCGTGAGAGGCAGCAGCTGGGCCGAGGGAGGGTCCTGGCACTGTCCTGGCTAGGGTGGGCATAGCTGGGCTCTAAGGGGCTTCCCACCCCTGACCCTGTGTTTGTGTTGTGGGCAGACCAGCCCCAGGGCCGGAGGTGGCTCCATTTCCTGGCAGTTCTGGCTGGGGCTGGGCCGTCCCGGGGGCCGACTGGAGGGTCCCAAGGGGTCCCGTCTGGCCGTGGAACCTCTGGCTCTAGTGGGGTGGGGTGGCGGGGGGAGGCTGGGGTCCATTAGGGGCTCTGCCCCTGGCTCCTTCGGTCACTTTCCCCTCATGTGCGCTGATGCCCTCTGGGGCATGGGGCTGCCCCCTTCCTTCTCTGTCATCCTGGGGCTCCCTGGCTGGGCGGGGGGGGCCACACTGTGTTCCCCTGGCGCTCCTTCCGGGGAGCAAGGCTGGGGCTGCCCGAGGTGCTGGGGTGGGGAGGTCTCCCGGAGCTCGCCCGTCCGGTGAGCGCGATCGGAGCCCGTCACGCCCGCCCAGCCCTGCCACGCAAAGGGCTGTTGGGTGCGGCTGGCCTGGAGCCCTCGCCATGGCCAAGGGGCTGGAGCTGGGGCAGGAGACAAAGGGGGGCCTCCGAGTGAGAGAGGCAGGGCCAGCAGCTCCCCCCACCCCGGCAGTCCCATGGCCAGGAGCCTCCCCAGCCCCCCTCTGGGCCCCCTGCAGCCGGGACGTGAGGGGCCCTGACCCACTCTTGGCAGCACAGCCGGGTACCCCCCCGGTGCCCGGGGGAGCCTGGCCCCTCAGGGTGGGGGTGTCTCCCTGTGACTGCTGCTCCTGCCCTAACCCGACTGGGGCTCGTCCCAGGGGGCGGGGCCTCATCCCAGGGGGCGGGGCCTATCCAGATGTAACAGTATGGGTGGTTTTACTGGGCCTGTCAGAGGCAGTCTGTGTGCTGGTGCGTGAGGGGCAGGGTGAGCAGCCCATGGGGCCAGCAGTGGGGCACATGGGGCTGGGCATGGGGCTGGCACATGGGGACAGTCGATTAAACGGAGAGGCAGTCAATCTCCAAGTAACACACGGCAGCCCGCTCCACACAAGTGGCCAGTGGAACTCCCTGCCACCGCGTGCTCTGGAGCAAGTGGTCCTGGGCAGTTTGAGCCAGGAGCCCAGGATAACCCAGCCTGGTCGCTCCTGGGCTGCACCATGTCCCTCTGCTCTGCCCCGCTGAGGCTTAGCCCCGGGCAGCCTCACTGGGCCCCCCGGCGCACATCTGCGGAGACGTGAAGAGGCAGCAAACTCCCGCCATGGACGTGGCTGCCCCGCGGGCAAGTCCCAGGCAGGTTGGGACCCAGGTCTGAGCCCATGGGGGCTCCCCCCCAGCTGCAAGTCCCCGCTCCGCCAGTCCTCAGGCTGAGACGAGTGCCTCTGGCCCCGAGGAGGGGCTGTGGGACCCCCTGACCCAGCTCCTCTCTCCCTTGCTCAGCCCCTGCTGCTCATTAGATGGCAGCTGTGCTGGGGGCAGGGTCCTCACTGCTGGCGGCAGCCCCCCTAGGACTGGGGCCCCGCCTGCTCCCCATGGCCGTGCCCCGGGGCGGGGCACTCAGGCAGGGAGCAGCCCCCCTCAGTGCCCTGCCAGTGCTGGGCAGGTGCCCGCCCCTTGCCGTCGCCTGGTGGGAGCCTGGTTAGAGGAGCTGGGAGGCGCCTGTGTTGGGCCCTGCTGCCCACCCACTGGCCCCCTGCCCTGCAGGGACCGGCCCTGCTCCTGAGACACTGGGCGGGCGAGGATGGGCCCCTGGAGCTGCCATTGCTGGGGGTGGGGTGGTGAGGGGGCTCCCGGGGGCGGGTAGGCAGTGACCACTAATGGAGTCTGTGCCAGGGCAGCCTGCAGGTGTGTGTGTGTGTGTGTGGGGGGGTCCCTGGGCTGGGATCTCCTGGGAACATGCTACTGCACGACCCCCCCAGCCTGCTGCCCCCCAGCCCCCACATGTGGCTTGGTGCAGCCTGCTGGGCCATGCCCCCGGTTGACTCTGTTCCAGCCCGGTGGCCGGCCAGACACGCTCCCGTGTGCCGCAGGACTCGTGCTCCCAGCCCTGGGGCCCCGTGGTACCTGCCCCGTGTGCGCCCCTGGCCCGGCTAGGCAGGGTCCCGCCCTTGGAGCAGGTCAGAGGGGGCGTCTGGGAAGCGGGGAGGAAAATGAAGGCAGATCTGAGCAGAGACTAGCCCATGCTGGGGAGAGGGGCTGGTGTGGGGGAGAGAACGCTGGGCCCAGCCCCATGACAGGCTCCCCAAGCCATGGGCTAATCACCTGTGGGGAGGGGAGGGGAGGAGGCTCTGCCTGAACCCAGAACTCAAACCTGACCCGCGGGTAACAACCTGCTGAAGCTGCAAGCCAGCGGAGTGGCTCTCAGCTTGTGCGGCAGTGGGCTGTGCTCAAGCTGCCAGTGCACGCAGGGCGGGGCCTGTGTCAACGTCATTCTGCCCCACGGACAGGGGGCCAGTTCTCGTGCCTCCCCCCCGGGCGGAGCAGCTGCTGTGAACCATGCACCTCCCTCCCCTCCCCGAGGGGCCAAGCCTGGCCTTGGGAGGGTTTCACCGACTCTGCCCTGCTGCAGCCCACGGGGTGAGGCCCAGGTGCGGCTGGACCCTGCCTGGCCAGGGGCAGACGTAGGATCTCGCAGGGCCTTGTGTGTGAGCGAACACCCGGGATGTGAGTGCAGCCTCCCAAGGGACCGTGGCCACACTGTGGGTAGCACTAGCTGGTGCGTGTGTCTCCCCGCTGCAGTCCGCCTGTCCCCACCCCCTGTGCTGTCTTGGGCTGGGCGCGGTGCTGAGCCGGGCCTCGCAGGAGCATCAGAGCAGCCCTGTCGCGTGGAGGGCTCCTGGCTGGCAGCGCAGCCCCCGGGCACAAGCCTTAGTGTCAGCATCTAACAAGCTCCCTGAGCCAAAGACAATTAACCCCATTACAAAAGAGCCAGGAACAAGGTGCCAACCAGAAAGTGGCTGGTAGCCTGCCCGGGAACCAGCAGCACCAGCCCCAGCAGCGTCCCCAGCCTTTGGGCCAGCGTGGCTGATGGCAGAGACGCCTGACCGGACCCAGGAGGGCTGGGGACACCCCGAGAGCTGCGGGCAGTGCCGGATGCCCCCAGTCACTGACTGTGAGACACCCCCGGGCCAAATGGGGATCCACCTCGGCACCAAGACAGGGCCTGGAGCAAGGGTGGAGGGGAAGGCTGGAGGCTGCCGGGCAGTTTGGGACCTGGCCTAGGACACAGGACACCAGGGTCAAGCATCCTGCTCCACCACTGAGCCCTGTGTGCCCTAGGGCAGCCTGGGCCCTTCTGGTCTAACGTCTGCCCCACTGCCTGGCAGGGACGTGGGGAGGCTCCGGCACTGTGCTGCTGGGCACAACCTAAGATCGGAAAGCCCCAGGGTTTGGGGGACAGCAGATGCGGCTCTCGCCCCATGGGGGTGGCCTGCCCTCATGTGTCCTGGGACTGGGCAGGGCGTGGGTTGCAGCAGTGTGCAATTGGTGACTTTTTTCAGAGACTTATAACTTGGCAGATTTTCACAAGGAGAGCAAAAGGCTCATAGAAGATAAGGGTTGGAAAAGACCTTAGGAGGTCATCTAGTCCAACCCCCTGCTCAAAGCAGGACCAATCCCCAACTAAATCATCCCAGCCAGGGCTTTGTCAAGCCTGACCTTAAAAGTATCTATGGAAGGAGATTCCACCACCTCCCTAGGTAACGCATTCCAGTGCTTCACCACCCTCCTAGTGAGAAACTTTTTCCTAATATCCAATCTAAACCTCCCCCACTGCAACTTGAGACCATTACTCCTCGTTCTGTCATCTGCTACCACTGAGAACAGTCTAGAGCCATCCTCTTTGGAACCCCCTCTCAGGTAGTTGAAAGCAGCTATCAAATCCCCCCCTCCTTCTTCTCTTCTGCAGACTAAATAATCCCAGTTCCTTCAGCCTCTCCTCATAAGTCATGTGCCGCAACCCTCTAATAATTTTTGTTGCCCTTCGCTGGACTCTCTCCAATTTGTCCACATCCTTCTTGAAGTGTGGGGCCCAAAACTGGACACAGTACTCCAGATGAGGCCTCACCAATGTCGAATAGAGGGGAACGATCACGTCCCTCGATCTGCTCGCTGTGCCCCTACTTATACAACCCAAAATGCCATTGGCCTTCTTGGCGACAAGGGCACACTGCTGACTCATATCCAGCTTCTCGTCCACTGTAACCCCTAGGTCCTTTTCTGCAGAACTGCTGCCGAGCCATTCGGTCCCTAGTCTATAGCGGTACATGGGATTCTTCCATCCTAAATGCAGGACTCTGCGCTTGTCCTTGTGGAACCTCATCAGATTTCTTTTGGCCCAATCCTCCAATTTGTCTAGGGCCCTCTGTATCCTATCCCTACCCTCCAGCATGTCTACCTCTCCTCCCAGCTTAGTGTCATCTGCAAACTTGCTGAGGGTGCAATCCACACCATCCTCCAGATCATTAATGAAGATGTTGAACAAAACCGGCCCCAGGACCAACCCCTGGGGCACCCTGCTTGATACCGGCTGCCAGCTAGACATGGAGCCATTGATCACTACCCGTTGAGCCTGACAATCTAGCCAGCTTTCTATCCACCTTATCGTCCATCCATCCAATCCATACTTGCTGGCAAGAATACTGTTGGAGACCATGTCAAAAGCTTTGCTAAAGTCAAGATATATCACATCCTCTGCTTTCCCCAGATCCACAGAGCCAGTTACCTCATCATTGAGGGCAATCAGGTTGGTCAGGCATGACTTGTGCCCTTGGTGAATCCATGCTGACTGTTCCTGATCACTTTCCTCTCGTGTAAGTGCTTCAGAATTGATTCCTTGAGGACCTACTCCATGATTTTTCCAGGGATTGAGGTGAGGCTGACTGGCCTGTAGTTCCCCGGATCCTCCTTCTTCCCTTTTTTAAAGATGGGCACTACATTAGCCTTTTTCCAGTCGTCCGGGACCTCCCTTGATCGCCATGAGTTTTCAAAGATAATGGCCAATGGCTCTGCAATCACATCCGCCAACTCCTTTAGCACTCTCGAATGCAACGCATCTAGCCCCATGGGCGTGTGCTTGTCCAGCTTTTCTAAATAGTCCCGAACCACTTCTTTCTCCACAGAGGGCTGGTCACCTCCTCCCCATGCTGTGCTGCCCAGTGCAGCAGTCTGGGAGCTGACCTTGTTCGTGAAGACAGAGGCAAAACAAGCATTGAGTACATTAGCTTTTTCCACATCCTCTGTCACTAGGTTGCCTCCCTCCTTCAGTAAGGGGCCCACACTTTCCTTGACCTCCTCCTTGCTAACATACCTGAAGAAACCCTTCTTGTTACCCTTCACATGCCTTACTAGCTACAACTCCGGTTGTGCTTTGGCCTTACACCCCTGCATGCTCGAGCAATATTTTTATACTCCTCCCTAGTCATCTGTCCAAGTTTCCACTTCTTGTAAGCTTCCTTTCTGTGTTTAAGCTCACCAAAGATTTCTCTGTGAAGCCAAGCTGGTCGCCTGTCATATTTGCTATTCTTTCTGCACATCGGGATGGTTTGTTCCTGCGCCCTCAATAAGGCTTCTTTAAAATACATCCCTGACCCCAGGACACCTCACTGCCAAATGTCAGGTCCCTGTCCTGAGCCTGGCGGCACTAATGCATCCGGAGTGGGTGTGAGCCAGCCTAGCCCTCGGCCCGTCAGGCTGAATCTCATGTGATTGGTGTGAAACCCAGCGATATTTCACAGTAACACGTGGGTTTTCTGGGGGCCGAGTCTGGTGGAGACGCTCCAGTCCCGTGCTCAGGCTTCTCTCTGCAAACATGGCACCTTTATGAAAATGGAAGCCAAGATTTTCCACAACCTCCTACCCGAGCAGCTGTGGCTGAAGCAAAGCACCAAATAACCCCAGGTTTGCGACACACCAGCGCGGGCTGCGGACAGAGCCACGTATCCCCCAGCTCAGCTGGTGTGGTCCAGGACCAGCCAGTCTGAGGTAGACACCTGGCTGGGGGAATTTCAGCCAGAATGTGTAAAATTTGGCCACTGAGAACAGGGTCTTGCCATGGGAAGTGTCTGGCAGCTGTTACTCTGGAGTCACTGCCAATCCCTCAGCTGTAACCCCTGGGGCCAGCAGAGACAGACCCCGGCACTTGGCGAGTGGACGCTGGGCCGCCTTGACCGTGCCAGGCGAACGGGAGACCTCCCGGATTGGGCTGCTGCATTCTCCAGAGCAGAATGGCTGGGTGGCAATGCCAGGGAAGCGGCTGGAGTCGGACAATTCCTGGGCCCGGCTGGGACAGCGTCCCGGTCCCCAACCCAGGGTCCCAGAGGAGCGCTCTCCAGGCCTAGCATCCCGAGTGGTGTCAGTCTGCAGCATGTCCCTGCAGGAGGGGCAGGAAATGGAGCATGTGCCAATGGGCCTGCTCAGGGACGGACGGGGCAACATCCCTACACCCCATTCGGGCAGGGGCCTGGGTAGAGAGACTGCCTGGGGCGAGGGGACAGAGACCTGTTTGGGGCCTGGGGGGAGGGTTGGGGGGCTGGGCAGGTCCCTGGCTGGGAGGGCCCTTCTGTGGCTCCCTGGGCAGACGGGCTATGGGCCTGGCCAGCATCTGCCCTTTGTCTCCTTGTGCTGCGCGGGGCTCGGCATGCCCCAGCCTCCTCCAGAGGGGCCTGACCCCCAGAGCCGCAGTGGGGAGCCAGGCCTGCCTTTCCCTGCAGGAGTCTCACCAGCCAACGGCCGACTTCCGCCTCTACGTGGAGAGCCACACACGGCACCTGGACGAGGTGAGCCGCCGGCACGTCCGCGTCTACCAGCTGTACAGCCGCTCCAGCACTGGGCACCTGCAGGTCCTCGGCAAGAGGGTCCGTGCCAACGGCGAGGACGGCAACAAATATGGTGTGGGTCTGGGAAGACCTCGGGGGGCTGGCCGGGCAGACGGTGGTAGGGGGCTGCAGCCACGTGTCCTGCCCCCAGAGCTCCCCGGGGGCAGGGGAGCCCGGCTCTGCCCCACATTGGAGGCTGCTCAGGAGGGGCCCCTTGGCTGGGGACTCCCAGTTCCACAGCCACCCTCGCCCCAGCCCAGGGGTGCCAGCAAACCCGCCCCAGGCCCATTCCCCTGAGTGATCCTCCCCACCCGCCCGGGCAGGCAGCGGGAAGGTGTCGCTCTGGAGGCAGGAGGCAGATTCCAGCTGTGCCCTCCCGCTCGGGGCTGTGCCCGTCTGCGCTGTGCGCCCACCGATTGCCTAGTAAACACCTGATAACGCGGCTCCTTATCCTGCAAGCCAGCCGGCCCCACCGGCGTCCCAGGCCGTCCTGGCAGGGGCCCAGGAATGCCGAGTATCCCAGCCACGCAGCCCGCACGCCAGCAGGGAGCTGCATGTCCTTCCGGCCTGGGACACGCTGCCCACGTCCCGCAGCAACCTGAGCCCCAGGGAACTGCATCAGGGCTCAGCAGGACCCTGGCACCCGGAGACCTGCCCTGCAGGAGCAAGCACAGAGTAACGGGGCCCCGTGAGCAGGCAGCCAGCTCCCCCCAGCTCTGCCGGTGCCCCTCACTCCCGACCCGCAGCCCCTGCTAGCCCAGTCCTAGGCGCCCCTAGCTCTGCCGGTGCCCCTTACTCCCGACCCACAGCCCCTCCACAATCCTAGCCCCGGTTTTGTGCCAGGCTGGGATGCTCCAGGCTCCTTCATCTCTGCTCCCCCCACCTGCCATATCCTCCTCCCTGTCACGGCCACTCCTAACTACTGCGCCTGGCTCCTTGCAGCGCTGCTGGCCATGGAGAGCGACACCTTTGGGAGCCACGTTCGCATCAAGGGCAAGGAGACGGGCTACTACGTCTGCATGGACAGGAGGGGGAAGGTGCTGGGCAAGGTATGGGACTGGCTTGTGCCAGGCGTGCCCTCTTCGGGGGGCACAATGCTGCCCTGTCCCTCCAGGGCTCCCCCAGTCCCTTCCTGCTCCTCCCAGACAGCCCAGCAGCGGGGGCCAGGCCCTGCACCCCTGAGCCACCTGGGGACACCCCCAACCCCTGCCCAGGTGAAGGGGCAGCCAGCAAGGGCCCTGGCCCCTCCCCAGAGCCGGCTGGGCGAGGGGTTGGGCTGGCTCGGTCCAGCAGCCTCCCCCGGGGGTCACAGTGACCAAGCCGCCTGCCAGGCCTAGGCTGGGCCCTGCTTGCGCCATGTGCTGTGACCAGGGCTCCATGCGGCCTGACAGTGACGTGGGTGCTAGTGTTCCCCTGCCCACGCCCCCCCAACCCCCCACCCTCCTGAGCTCCCCAGCCTCCCACAGCACCCCTGCCTGCGCCCCCTGCCCACCTGTACCCCCCAGCCTCCCACGCACCCCTCACCCGCCTGCACCCCCGTAGCCTCCCCCATCGCCCACAGCACCCCCGCCTGTGCCCCCTGCGCCCCCCAGCCTCCCACGCACCCCTCACCCACCTGCACCCCCGTAGCGTCCCCCATTGCCCACAGCACCCCCGCCTGTGCCCCCTACCCACCTGCGCCCCTGTCACGGAGTCCCTGGGCGATGCTCTGGAACTGCTCCCCATGAAGCCAGTCAGGACTCTGGGGTAGTCGCCTTTCTGTGAGCAGCCTGTCTTCAGGACACACAGCTCACACAGCTTCCACCTTCCTGGGTCTGACCTCGGAGCATTCAGCATCCTCTGCCCCTCCGTACGCTTCCCCCCAGCGAGTCCGCTCAGACGGGGTCCTAGGGAAGCCAGAGGGTCCTGCCCCCCAACTTCGCAGTCAGACGTGACTCTCAGCCAGCCAGTAAAACAGAAGGTTTATTAGACGACAGGAACATGGTCTAACACAGAGCTTGCAGGTGCAGAGAACGGGACCCCTCAGCTGGGTCCATTCTGGGGGGCAGTGAGCCAGACAACCACGTCTGCACTTCACTCCATGTCCCAGCCAGCCCCAAACTGAAACCCCCTCCAGCCCCTCCTCCTCTGGGCTTTGTTCCTTTCCAGGGCCAGGAGGGCACCTGATTCCTTTGTTCTCCAACCCTTCAGCTCTCACCTTGCAGGGGGGAAGGGCCCAGGCCATCAGTTGCCAGGAAACAGGGTGTCGGCCATTCTCTGTGTCCAGACCCCTGCACACACCTGCCCTCTAGGGCTCTGCAATGATCATACACCCTTACCCCACCCCCTAGATACTTAAGAACTGCCTAGGGGAAACTGAGGCACCCCCACACTATTCAGAGGAAACATTAAGAACAGTCCCGCTTCGTCACAGCCAGTAACACAGAAGGTTTATTAGATGACAGGAATATGGTCTAACACAGAGCTTGCAGGTGCAGAGAACGGGACCCCTCAGCTGGGTCCATTTTGGGGGGCAGTGAGCCAGACAACCACGTCTGCCCTTCACTCCATGTCCCAGCCAGCCCCAAACTGAAAACCCCCTCCAGCCCCTCCTCCTCTGGGCTTTGTTCCTTTCCCGGGCCAGGAGGTCACCTGATTCCTTTGTTCTCCAACCCTTCAGCTTTCAGAGGAACAGCTGTGTTAGTCTGTATTCGCAAAAAGAAAAGGAGTACTTGTGGCACCTTAGAGACTAACCAATTTATTTGAGCATGAGCTTTCGTGAGCTACAGCTCACTTCTGAGCTGTAGCTCACGAAAGCTCATGCTCAAATAAATTGGTTAGTCTCTAAGTTGCCACAAGTACTCCTTTTCTTTTTGCGAACCCTTCAGCTCTCACCTTGCAGGGGGGAAGGGCCCAGGCCATCAGTTGCCAGGAAACAGGGTGTTGGCCATTCTCTGTGTCCAGACCCCCCCACACACATGCCCTCTAGGGCTCTGCAAGGATCATACACCCTTACTCCACCCCCTAGATACTTAAGAACTGCCTAGGGGAAACTGAGGAACCCCCACACTATTCAGAGGAAACATTAAGAACAGTCCCACTTCGTCACAGCCCCCCAGCCTCCGACACACCCCTCACCCGCCTGCACCCCCATAGCCTCCCCCATCGCCCACAGCACCCCCGCCTGTGCCCCCTGCACCCCCCAGCCTCCCACGCACCCCTCACCCACCTGCACCCCCGTAGCCTCCCCCATCGCCCACAGCACCCCCGCCTGCGCCCCCTGCCCACCTGCGCCACCCAGCCTCCCACGCACCCCTCACCCACCTGCACCCCCATAGCCTCCCCCATCGCCCACAGCACCCCTGCCTGCGCCCCCTGAACCCCCCAGCCTCCCACGCACCCCCTCACCCACCTGCACCCCCGTAGCCTCCCCCATCGCCCACAGCACCCCCGCCTGTGCCCCCTGCCCACCTGCGCCACCCAGCATCCCACGCACCCCTCACCCGCCTGCACCCCCGTAGCCGCCCCCAAAGCCCACATCACCCCTGCCTCCGCCCCCTGCCCACCCATAGCCTCCCCCATCGCCCACAGCACCGCCGTGTCACGGAGTCCCCAGGCGATGCTCTGAAACTGCTCCCCATGAAGCCAGTCAGGACTCTGGGGCAGTCTCCTCTCTGGGAGCAGCCTGTCTGCAGGACACACAGCTCACCTGGCTTCCACCTTCCTGCGTCTGACCTCGGAGCCTTCAGCATCCTCTGCCCCTCCATGTGCTTCCCACAGCGAGTCCACCCAGGCAGGGTCCTGGGGAAGCCAGAGGGTCCTGCCCCCCAACTCCGCAGTCAGACGTGACTCTCAGCCAGCCAGGAAAACAGAGGTTTATTAGACGACAGGAACATGGTCTAAAACCGAGCTTGTAGGTGCAGAGAACCGGACCCCTCAACCGGGTCCATTTTGGGTGACAGGGAGTCAGACAACCCCGTCTGCCCTTCACTCCATGTCCCAGCCAGCCCCAAACTGAAACTCCCTCCAGCCCCACCCTCCTCTGGGCTTTGTCCCTGTCCCCGGCCAGGAGGTCACCTGATTCCTTTGTTCTCCAGCCCTTTAGCTCTCACCTTGCAGGGGGGAAGGGCCCAGGCCATCAGTGGCCAGGAAACAGGGTGTCGGCCATTATCTGTGTCCAGACCCCTGGACACACCGGCCCTCCAGGGCTCTGCAATGATCATACACCCTTACCCTACCACCTAGATACTTAAGAACTGCACAGGGGAAACTGAGGCACCCCCACACTATTCAGAGGAAACATTAAGAATAGTCCCACTTCGTCACATCTCTCCCCCCTTCAAGATCGAACTGGGCGGGGTCACTTTAGCCGGTGATCTGGGGAAGTTCAAAGCACCAACGTTCCCATGGATGCCCCAGCATCTCTCCCATTCCTTGGTAGGAGTTACACCAGGCCCTTCCAGTTTCACGCCCTCCCTTAGGTCGGGGGTGCTCAATAGCACTCGCAGGCCGCGTGTGGGAAGGTTTATGCGGCCCGTGCCCTTTGGCCACCCCAAAACCCCAGCGGGTCAAACTGGGATTGGATCTTCTCCCCAACAAGCTGGCCAAACACAGCCACTTGGTTAGAGGACTGTTTAACTTTCTTAACAGCTTTCACTCCACCTGAGACCTTCTCAAAGCTATCCACACTGGGTCTTTCAACAGGAAAGTCAGTGGATCCATTCACAACAGAAAATTTCTGGCTGTTAGGAACTGAAACTTTCTTGATTAAATCACTTTCACACCCTTCAGTTGCAGTAAACTGCTTGCAAAGACTCCATGAGGATTCCTTTCCCTAGGGCTTTTCTATGCAACAATTCACCCCTCACAGAAATTCTGCTCTTACCCTCTTTACCTAGGGCTTGCTCTAGAGGAACACTTCCCTAAGCAACAACAGACTCTTTAAAAAAAAAAAAAGGAGTACTTGTGGCACCTTAGAGACTAACCAATTTATTTGAGCATGAGCTTTCGTGAGCCACAGCTCAATCTGATGAAGTGAGCTGTGGCTCACGAAAGCTCATGCTCAAATAAATTGGTTAGTCTCTAAGGTGCTGTGACGAAGTGACTCAGCAGGGAGGGGGGAGTGTTGACCTGGGAATGTGCCCTGGGGATGGGAGACCTGAGAGCCTGTCACCTGAGCCAGGAGGGGGAGGGGGAGGTAACACCTCTGCCCAGGAATGTGAACAGAGGCTGCAGCAGGGAACCGGCTGGGTGGGGTTAGTTGGCAGTTTGGGAGGCTGGGGAGAGGAACACAGGGAACCCCAGGGCTGGGGTCTAAGCTCCCTGCTCCCCCAGAAGGACGTGATTGAGGGGTCCTGGTTGTACCCACAAGCTCTGTTGTGGACTGTGTTCCTGTTGTCCAATAAACCTTCTGTTTTACTGGCTGGCTGAGAGTCTCAGTGGATCCCAGGAAGAGGGGTGCAGGGCCTGGACTCCCCCACACTCCGCGACAACTGGTGGCAGCGGTGGGATCTACTGCACCCCGTGAACGGCGCTTCCTGCAGTAAGTGACTGGGGAACAGTAAAACGAAGGGGAATTGACGGGGACCAGGCGTGCTGAAGATTCAGAGAGAGACGGTTTCGGGGGCGGCTAACCCCTGGGAATGTGTGACCAGAGAGAAAGACTTTTGCAGTAACAGGGTCCCCCGGGGGATTGCAGCGAGCAGTCCCAGGGGCGGAGGAGTCTGCAGCTCGACCCTGGCAAAGAGGTGGTGACCTCAAGAAGGACTGGCACACTAAGGGCTTTTCCTGGAAACCGTGGGAAGCTGCCCGGCCTGCGAGTGGCCAGCAGGGAGATGTACGCTAAACGCCTTAAGAGTGACCTGGTGGAGCTGTGCAGGCAGAGGGGGCTGCGCATCGGGAGGTCCACCAAGGAACAACTGATTGCCCAGTTGGAGGAGAGGGATCGCTTGGATGACCCGATCCCTGTCCCTGAGGGGAGCCGCCCGGCAGACGCAGCGTGGGCCCTGGGGCCTGACCGGGCTGGGAGGGGTCAGACTGCTGCCGAGGACATCCCGAGACCCTTCCTACCTATGCCTGGGGGAGGGGTTGGGGGAAGCCCAGCGAATACCGAGGGCACCCTGACCCCAGCACCCAGCAGGGGATCCTCCCGGCGGAGCTCCCCATCCCTGGAGCGGAGGCGGCTGGAATGGGAGAGGGAGATGAAAATGAGGGAGCTGGAGGATCATGAAAAACAACGTCAACATGAGGAGAAACAACGTCAACATGAGCAGGAGGAGAAGGAGAAACAACGTCAACATGAGCAGGAGGAGAAGGAGAAACAACGTCAACATGAGCAGGAGGAGAAGGAGAGGGAGCGTCAGGAGAAGGAGAGGGAGCGTCAGGAGAAGGAGAGGGAGCGTCAGGAGAAGGAGAGGGAGCGCCAGGAGAAGGAGAAACAAAGACAGCATGAACTGGAGCTGGCCAGGCTGAAGAGCAGTGGGGCCCCGGCTGTGGTGAGTGAGGGGGGACCCAAGACTGCAAGGAACTTTGATAAGTGCTTCCTGGCCCAGCGTAAGGAGGGGGAGGACATAGATAGCTTCCTGACGGCCTTTGAGAATGCCTGTGAGCTGCACAGGGTTGACCCTGCAGACAGGCTCCAGTTTCTCACCCCCTTACTGGACCCCAAAGCCGTGGAGGTGTACAGCCGGATGACAGGGCCGGAGGCAGGGGACTATGAACTGTTCAAACAGGCCCTGCTCCGTGAGTTTGGGCTGACCCCCGAGATGTACCGGAGAAGGTTCCGGAGTCAGCGTAAAACGCCTGAGGTCACCTACCTACAACTGGCCAACCGGATGCAGGGGTATGCCCGCAAGTGGACAGCTGGGGCCCGAGCTAAAGAGGACCTGCTTGACCTAATTGTACTGGAGCAGCTGTATGAACAGTGCCCTTCCGACCTGAGGCTGTGGTTGGTGGACAAAAAGCTCGAGAACCCCCAGCACGCAGGGCAGCTGGCCGACGAGTTTGTGAACAGTCGGTCAGGGGGTAGCCGGGAGGAGTCCCAAAAGAACAGGCCCCCCCCGATGCAGAGAGAGAGTCACCAGGGGGCCTCCCAGCGGGGAAATAGGGAGAACCCCCTCCCAAGGGGAACGCCTGGCGTCGGGCCCCTCCGACCCGCTCGAGGGGACCAACGTGACCTGAGCTGCTATCACTGTGGCCAGAGAGGCCACATACGGTCCCAGTGCCCTGGGCTCAGGGACAAACTGAGCAGACCCAACCTACCCAGGGTTAATTGGGTAGGGACCCAGCTGGACGAGGGGCAGACGACCCAGGCAAGGGGGCCTACCAGTTTACCACCTGCTCAGGAGGGAAGAGTACCCCAGGCCAGCTCCACCAGAGGGCTGGAGGCTCTGGACTCAGGGCGCTCAGTTTACAGGGTGGGCGCGGGGCTGTCCCTCCGGAGAGAGTGCCTTGTTCCCCTGGAGGTAGATGGGAGGAAGGTCAATGGATACTGGGATACGGGTGCGGAGGTGACGCTGGCCCGGCCCGAGGTGGTGGCCCCAGATCGGGTGGTGCCCAACACCTACCTGACCCTGACAGGGGTGGGTGGGACCCCATTTAAGGTGCCCGTGGCAAGGGTACACCTGAAATGGGGGGGCCAAGGAGGGCCCCAAGGATGTGGGGGTACACCACCATTTGCCCACTGAAGTTTTGATGGGGGGAGACCTAGAGGACTGGCCAAGCAAGCCCCAGACCGCCCTGGTTGTGACCCGTAGCCAGAGCCGGCGAGGGCCACTGCTCCCTGACCTCGGGGAGGGTACTGCACCGGAGGCGCAGGACCCTACCCTGGTGGGAAGGGAGGGCCGAGGGGCACGGCTCAGAGAGGCTGAGGCCTCAGACCTGGCCACTGAGGGGGAACCGGTCCCCATCCCTTCCCCAGCTGCTGAGTTCCAGGCCGAGTTGAGGAAAGATCCCTCCTTGCGGAAGCTCAGGGACCTGGCCGACTTCAGGGTGGTACGGACCATGAGGAGAGGCTGCCAGGAGAGGTTCCTGTGGGAGAAGGGGTTCCTGTACCGAGAATGGGCTCCCACAAGGGAAGTAGAGTCCTGTGGGATCAGGAGGCAGCTGGTGGTCCCCCAGAAGTATCGCCGCAAGCTCCTGTACCTGGCCCATGACATCCCCCTCGCAGGGCACCAGGGAATCCGGCGCACCCGGCAGAGGTTGCTACAGAACTTTTACTGGCCCGGGGTCTTTACCACGGTCCGGCAGTATTGCCGATCCTGTGACCCCTGTCAGAGGGTGGGGAAGGCCCGGGACAAGGGGAAAGCGGCTTTGAGACCTTTGCCCATCATAGAGGAGCCTTTCCAGAAGGTGGCCATGGACATCGTGGGGCCTCTCAGCAGGACGACCCGGTCGGGGAAGAAATACATTCTGGTGGTGGTAGATTTTGCCACCCGCTACCCCGAGGCAGTGCCCTTAGCTTCCATTGAAGCAGACACCGTGGCCGATGCGCTCCTGACCATTTTCAGCCGAGTGGGGTTCCCCAAGGAAGTCTTGACAGACCAAGGCTCCAACTTCATGTCGGCCCTGCTCCGGTGCTTGTGGGAGAAATGTGGGGTCCGGCACGACTGGGCCTCAGCTTATCACCCCCAGTCCAACGGGCTGGTGGAGAGGTTTAACGGGACGCTAAAGATGATGCTGAAAACCTTTATGAACCAGCACCCACAGGATTGGGACAAGTACTTACCTCACCTGCTGTTCGCGTACAGGGAGGTGCCCCAGGAGTCGACCGGATTTTCGCCTTTCGAACTGTTATATGGAAGGAGGGTGAGGGGCCCCCTGGACCTGATGAGAGACGAGTGGGAGGGGAAGGCCACTCCCGATGGAGAGTCAGTGGTGGAGTATGTCCTGATCTTCCGAGAGAGACTGGCTGAACTCATGGGCCTGGCCAGGGAGAATCTGGCCAGAGCCCAGAAGAAGCAGAAGGTCTGGTATGACCGCACGGCAAGGGCCCGTGCCTACGCCACCGGGGATCCGGTGATGGTTCTCATCCCAGTGAGAAAGAACAAACTACAGGCCGCCTGGGAGGGCCCTTTCAAGGTCGTCAAGCAGCTCAATGAGGTAAACTATGTGGTGGAGCTGTCGAACCGGGCGCACCACCGCCGGGTGTACCATGTGAATATGATGAAGCCATATTATGCCAGGGGGAATGTGGTGTTGGCCGTGTGTGGACAGTGGGAAGAGCAGGGAGATGACCCTTTAGTGGATCTATTCCCTGGGACTAGAGCTGGTTCCCCCCCTGGAAACAATCCCCCTCTCGGATCAGCTAACCCCTGCCCAGCAAGATGAGGTCAGGGAGGTGCTGCATCCGTACCGACAGCTGTTTTCCAACCAGCCTGGACGCACTAATCTGACTGTCCACCGGGTGCAGACAGGGTCGCACCCGCCGATAAGATGCTCCCCCTTCCGAGTCACAGGGAAAACTGCTCAGGACCTGGAAAGAGAGGTCCGGGACATGCTGGCTTTGGGGGTGATCCAGCCATCGGCCAGCCCTTGGGCCTCGCCGGTGGTGCTGGTCCCCAAGAAGGACGGGTCGGTCCGGTTCTGCGTGGACTATCGGAAGCTCAATGCCATCACTGTATCTGATGCCTACCCCATGCCCAGGCCGGACGAGCTCCTAGACAAACTGGGAGGAGCTCGGTACCTTACCACCATGGACCTTACAAAGGGCTACTGGCAAGTGCCGCTGGATGCAGATGCCCGACTGAAATCGGCCTTTATCACCCCTCTGGGGCTCTATGAGTTCCTGACCCTGCCTTTCGGCCTCAAGGGAGCGCCGGCCACCTTCCAGCGCCTAGTGGACCAGCTCCTGAGGGGGATGGAGAGTTTTGCCGTGGCGTATATTGATGACATCTGTGTCTTTAGCCAGACCTGGGAGGACCACGTGTCCCAGGTTAGACAAGTGCTGGACCGACTCCAGGGGGCTGGGCTGACTGTAAAGCGGAGAAGTGCAAGGTGGGGATGGCGGAAGTGTCTTACCTGGGCCATCGGGTGGGGAGCGGCCACCTAAAGCCGGAACCAGCCAAGGTGGAGGTGATCAGAGACTGGCCCGCTCCCCACACCAAAAAGCAGGTCCAAGCCTTTATTGGGATGGCAGGATACTACCGAAGATTTGTGCCCCACTTTAGCGCCATAGCCACCCCCATCACTGAGCTATGCAAGAAGGGGAAGCCAGACAAGGTGGTCTGGACCGAGCAGTGCCAGGAGGCTTTCCGGGCGCTGAAGGAGGCTCTGGTCAGTGGCCCAGTTCTGGCAAACCCAGACTTTGACAAGCCCTTTGTGGTGTTCACCGACGCCTCCGACACGGGACTGGGGGCAGTGTTAATGCAGGAGGATGAAAAGGGGGGAGAGACACCCCATCGTGTACCTGAGCAAGAAGTTGCTGCCCCGGGAGCAACACTACGCGGCCATCGAGAAGGAGTGCCTGGCCATGGTGTGGGCCCTCAAGAAACTAGAGCCCTATCTCTTCGGGCGGCACTTCACCGTGTACACCGACCACTCGCCCCTGACCTGGCTGCACCAGATGAAAGGAGCCAACGCCAAGCTCCTGAGATGGAGCCTGCTCCTGCAGGATTACGACATGGACGTGGTCCACGTGAAGGGAAGTGCCAACCTGATAGCGGATGCGCTGTCCCGGAGAGGGGGCCCCGAACTTCCCCAGGTCACTGGTCACAGTGACCCCGCTCAGTTCAGTTCGAAGGGGGGAGAGATGTGACGATGTGACTCAGCAGGGAGGGGGGAGTGTTGACCTGGGAATGTGCCCTGGGGATGGGAGACCTGAGAGCCTGTCACCTGAGCCAGGAGGGGGAGGGGGAGGTAACACCTCTGCCCAGGAATGTGAACAGAGGCTGCAGCAGGGAACCTGGGGGGTGGGTTTAGTTGGCAGTTTGGGAGGCTGGGGAGAGGAACACAGGGAACCCCAGGGCTGGGGTCTAAGCTCCCTGCTCCCCCAGAAGGACGTGATTGAGGGGTCCTGGTTGTACCCACAAGCTCTGTTGTGGACTGTGTTCCTGTTGTCCAATAAACCTTCTGTTTTACTGGCTGGCTGAGAGTCTCAGTGGATCCCAGGAAGAGGGGTGCAGGGCCTGGACTCCCCCACACTCCGTGACACCCCCCCCCCCCCCCCCCCCCCCGTCGCAAGGGACGACTCACTGGCCTGGCACGGCGCCTCCTGCTGGTCATTGAGGAATTAGCTCTTGTCCAGCCTGGAGCGCCCTCTGCAGGCCGGTGTCTCGCCTGCCGCTGGCCCCGCGTCCCTCCCGGACCCCGGTGCCCTTTCCCCTAGCAGTACCCCCGCACTCTGGGTCTCCCCTCCCAGGGGAGCCCCCAACCCTCTAAACCCACCTTGCCTCCGTGGCTACTGCCAGTCGCCATCTAGCCCCCGCTCACTGGGGCAGACTGCAGTCTGTAATGGCCACTCATCGCGGGCAAGGGGCTTGGACCAGCTGCCTCTGCCTGTCCCCGGTCTGCCCCTCTCCAGCCCCAAGGCCTCAGCCTGGGGAGTTGCCAGGCTGGAGCTCCCCAGCTCCTCTTGGCCTTCCCCAGCCCTGCTCAGCCTCGGGTGCCCTGTGCTCCCAGCAGCCAGGCCCTCTCCCTCCAGGGCTGGAGATGTCTTCTGGCCCTGCAGCTCTTCTGTAGGGTCCAGCCTGGCATGGCCCCAGCAGGGGCTGCTTCCCCAGTTAGCCTGGCTTGGCTGCTTTTAACCCCTGTTCTCCAGGAGTGGGGCAGTTGCCCCACTACACCCTCCCCCCTCACCTGCATCTCACACCCCCTGCTCTTCTGCATCCTCATGGCCCCCCATGCCTGCCAGTGTCCCCCCGGCCCCCCACCTGCCTGTGTCCAGCACAGCCCCCACCTGCCTGCCTCAGTCTCTCTCTTCCCCCCAGCTGGACGGGCAGAGCCGGGGCTGCGTCTTCGTGGAAGAAGTCCTGGAGAACAACTACACGGCCTTCATGTCGGCCTGGCACCGGGGCTGGTACCTGGGCTTCACCCGCAAGGGGCGGGCGCAGACGGGGCCACGCACCCACCGGACCCAGCGCGAAGGGCACTTCATGAAGAGGCCCCCCAAGGGCGCAGGGGGCGAGGGGCAGAGCCCGTTCCGCTTCACTGCCCTCACCCAGCGGACTAAGCGGGCCCTGGGGCCCTCGAGCCAGAGGCCCGTGCCCAGCCGGTGCCCATCAGGGGCTGGGGCCCCACGCTGTGCCCAGCTCAGCAGGGCGAGGAGACGGGGTCCCAGCACGCAGTTCAGCTGCTCCGGCCACGCCAAGGCGGGTGGGCGAGGAGCCAGGGGGGGCGGGCAGCCAAGGGGGCGGGCACAGGCGCTGCCCCACATTCCCGCGGGCTTGCAGTGGTGCACTGCCCCACGGCCCTGACAGGTGGGTCACCCCACACGCCGCGCGGGGGCTGCCCCAGAGAAGGGCTGGTTTCATGCTGCCGGAGGGGGACTAGTCGGTGGGTTAATGTCATTCAATATTGCGGCGTGGGGCCTGAGCGTCTGCCTCTCTCCCCTTGTGTCTGCTGCACCTGGGGGGGGGGGCGGCCTGGGGGGCCAGCGCCTGGAAGCCAGCTGGGCATGGCCCATGACTTCACAGCTCACCAGGCCACCCCGGGGGAGGAGGGGAGGTATTGCTGGGGGGCAGGGGAGGGGGAGGTTTGCCGGGAGGGGAGGGGAGGGGGGAGGTTTTGCTGTGTGGGGAGGGGAGAGGCCAGAGAAGGGGGTGGGGCAGGAGAGCTATTGCCAGCACAGGAGGGTGGGGGAGAGGAGGGGAAGAGGTATTGCTGGGTAGGGAGGTGTGAGAAAGCGGGACTCTTAATGTTTCCTCTGAATAGTGTGGGGTGCCTCAGTTTCCCCTAGGCAGTTCTTAAGTATCTAGGGGGTGGGGTAAGGGTGTATGATCGTTGCAGAGCCCTAGAGGGCAGGTGAGTGCAGGGGTCTGGACACAGACAATCGCGGACACCCTGTTTCCTGGCAACTGATGGCCTGGGCCCTTCCCCCCTGCAAGGTGAGAGCTAAAGGGTTGGAGAACAAAGGAATCCGGTGCCCTCCTGGCCTGGGAAAGGGACAAAGCCCAGAGGAGGAGGGGCTGGAGGGAGTTTCAGTTTGGGGCTGGCTGGGGACATGGAGTGAAGGGCAGACGTGGTTGTCTGGTTCCCTGCCCCCCAAAATGGACCCGGCTGAGGGGTCCTGTTCTCTGCACCTACAAGCTCTGTGTTAGACCATGTTCCTGTCGTCTAATAAACCTCTGTTTTACTGACTGGCTGAGAGTCACGTCTGACTGCGGAGTTGGGGGGCAGGACCCTCTGGTCCCCCCAGGACCCTGCCTGGGCGGACTCGCTATGGGGAAGCGCACGGAGGGGCAGAGGAGGCTGAATGCTCCAAGGTCAGACCCAGGAAGGTGGAAGCTGTGTGAGCTGTGTGTCCTGCAGACAGGCTGCTCACAGAAAGGCGACTGCCCCAGAGTGCTGCCTGGCTTCATGGGGAGCAGTTCCAGAGCATCGCCCGGGGACGCCGGGACACAGTGCCAGAGACGTCTCAGGAGGCATGCTCTGCACTCATGATGCCATGCTTGGAGCCCACTCTGAGCAGGTATTGGGGGCCCAGGTGCGGTGGGGAGGGGCATCCCCTGCTCGGTGGGCACACCCGGCGGTGGCCCCTGCCTCTTCGCCCTTCTCCCCACAGCTGCGGGGAGTGCGTTTGGGCGAAGGGCTGCATTGAGGGGGCAGAGGTCCCACTGGGCAAGCTGTGGGGGGAGGGGTGGAGCACCCCTGGCCCGGGCCTATGGGGCCAGCAGCAGGGACCAGCACGAGCCCCCAGAGCAGCCCAGCGGGGCCTTGGGCAGCACGGTCAGTGGAGCGGCCCTCACCACGGGGCCTGTGCCAGGACCGCAGCCACCGTCCACCCTGCCCGCTTGGGGCCAAGGAGGGGGGCAGGCACCCGGGCCTGCCAAGTGCCCGGGGGGCTCCTTGGCATGAGCCATGGCGCCCTGCTTGGGACTGGGCCTGGCACCAGGCTGGGGCCTCCGGGGCTCGCTCAGCACTAACTGATCCTAACAAGCTGGAACGTCTCCCGGCGGCCTGCGGCTCCGACACACGGCGTCTGTCCGGAGAGCTGCCCGGCTGGCCTGGGGGTCGCAGGGCAACTGCCCCACCCCGCACACCCACTACTCCCAGTGCAGCCCAGCCTGCTGCCAGGGGCTGGGGTGGTCCGTACCATTCTGCCTGCCCCCCACCCCCTGTAAGCTGCACTGGCCCAGCCAGCTCGCAGCCTCGGGGTCCCCGGGCGATGCTCTGGAACGGCTCCCCACGAAGCCAGGCAGGACTCTGGGGAAGTCTCCTCTCGGGGAGCAGCCTGTCTGCAGGACACACAGCTCACCCAGCTTCCACCTTCCTGGGTCTGACCCTGGAGCCTCCAGCCTCCTCTGCCCCTCCGGGCGCTTCCCACAGCCAGTCCGCCCAGGCGGGGTCCTGGGGAAGCCAGTGGGTCCTGCCCCCCAACTCTGCAGGCAGACGGGACTCTCAGCCAGCCAGTATAACAGAGGTTTATTAGATGACAGGAACATGGTCTGCACACACCTGCCCTCCAGGGCTCTGCAATGATCATACACCCTTATCCCACCACCTAGATACTTAAGAACTGCCTAGGGGAAACTGAGGCACCCCCACACTGTTCAAAGGAAACATTAAGAACAGTCCCACTTCGTCACAGTGTTCTCCAGGATATCGGCTGGGAGACCCTGTTGTGGGGTGACCGTGTCTCTTTGCGATAGCATCCAGGCCCTCCTCCTGTAACATCCAAGGGTTTGCAAAAAGAAAAGGAGTACTTGTGGCACCTTAGAGACTAACCAATTTATTTGAGCATGAGCTTTCGTGAGCTACAGCTCACTTCATCAGATGCATACCGTGGAAACTGCAGCAGACTTTATATATACACAGGTTAGTCTCTAAGGTGCCACAAGTACTCCTTTTCTTTTAGAGAATATGAAACAATACCTCCTCCCACCCCACTGTCCTGCTGGTAATAGCTTATCTAAAGTGATCATCAGGTGGGCCATTTCCAGCACAAATCCAGGTTTTCTCACCCTCCACCCCCCCACACAAATTCACTCTCCTGCTGGTGCTAGCCCATCCAAAGTGACAACTCTTTACATAATCAAGTCGGGCTATTTCCTGCATAGATCCAGGTTTTCTCACATCCCCCCCACCACCCCCATACCCCATGTATGGGGGTGGGGGGGATGTGAGAAAACCTGGATCTATGCAGGAAATAGCCCGACTTGATTATGTAAAGAGTTGTCACTTTGGATGGGCTAGCACCAGCAGGAGAGTGAATTTGTGTGGGGGGGTGGAGGGTGAGAAAACCTGGATTTGTGCTGGAAATGGCCCACCTGATGATCACTTTAGATAAGCTATTACCAGCAGGACAGTGGGGTGGGAGGAGGTATTGTTTCATATTCTCTAAAAGAAAAGGAGTACTTGTGGCACCTTAGAGACTAACCTGTGTATATATAAAGTCTGCTGCAGCTTCCACGGTATGCATCTGATGAAGTGAGCTGTAGCGCACGAAAGCTCATGCTCAAATAAATTGGTTAGTCTCTAAGGTGCCACAAGTCCTCCTTTTCTTTTTGCGAATACAGACTAACACGGCTGTTACTCTGAATCCAAGGGTTTGAATTTGAATCCAGGGAACCAGTCGCTGGAGAGGGGGCTCAGGCTGGCTCTGATGCAGTGAGGAAGGCAGGGAGCTCGCTGCCTACCCCCACTGGGACAGCAAGGGCAGCGCTGAGCACAGTGGGAGCTGAGACCCCAGCTGAGTGGGGGGAGACACAGGCAGGGCAGGGGATCTGTGGGGAGTGGCAAGGTGCTGGGTAAGGAAAGTCTGGATGAGCCTAGGCCGCCTTGTGAGCTGATGGCTGTGTCTAGTCAGCAGGGTGGGAAGGCGAGGAGAGTGGAAGATGAGTGTGGACCTTACCTGTTAGCTGGGTGGAGAAGTGTGACAGGGAAGGAAACGTGCCTGTGTCTGCCAGGGGTATTGACTTGCCTGTGTAGGGAGCTACCCTGATCTCCAAGCATTTGTCTGTGACCAGCCTTGTGTGCTGGGACCAGGGGAATGAGCTCCCAAGCTGTGTGTCTGGGAAAGGAGAAAGTGTGTCCGTCTCTTCTTTGTCTGTGGAGCAGACAGAAGGGGCCTTTCAGCCTGTGATGGTTGAGGGTCGTGCAGTTGTCTCAGAGTTGGTTCTGGATTCAGCTAAAGCCCAGGAAGGGAAGGGTCCTAAGTTTGTGTCTGCTCGGGAGAATGGCCCTGTAACTAGGTCTCATCCAGTTAGTGTCTATGTAGAATCCCAGAGCCCAGACAATTCTGGTGCTTGTATTTTGCCTGTTGCTAGTGTGTTGTTGGGAAAGGGTGTAGCAACTCTGTCTAATCAGGGTGAGATCCTAGCCAGGGCACAAGGAGAGCATGAAGGTGATGTGATTGTGTTACCTACTGAGGGTGTGGAAACCTGTCCCAAGAAGGAAAAGATTCCTGAACTTGTGTGTGGCAAAGGGAAGGAGAATGCTTCTGACCTTTTATCTAGGAAGTCTGTGAGTTTGCCTGAAAGGGGATTGTGTAGGAATCCGCCGGATGGGCCAGAGGTAATTCTGGATGTAAGGGAGACCCAGAAAGAGTCTGTTGTTGCTCAGGAAAGTGTTCCTCTAGAGCACGCCCTAGGAGAAGAGGGTAAGAGCAGAATTTCTCAAAAAGAAAAGGAGTACTTGTGGCACCTTAAAGACTAACCAATTTATTTGAGCATGAGCTTTCGTGAGCTTTATGCATCCGATGAAGTGAGCTGTAGCTCACGAAAGCTCATGCTCAAATAAATAGGTTAGTCTCTAAGGTGCCACAAGTACTCCTTTTCTTTTTGCGAATACAGACTACAGAATACAGGCTGTTACTCTGAAACCTAGCAGAATTTCTGTGAGGGGTGAATTGTTGCATAGAAAAGCCCTAGGGAAAGGAATCCTCAGGGAGTCTTTGCAAGCAGTTTACTGCAACTGAAGGGTGTGAAAGTGATTTAATCAAGAAAGTCTCCGTTCCTAACAGCCAGAAATTTTCTGTTGTGAATGGATCCACTGACTTTCTTGTTGAAAGATCCAGTGTGGAGAGCTTTGAGATGGTCTCAGATGGAGTGAAAGCTGTTAAGAAAGTTAAACAGTCCTCTAACCAAGTGGCTAGTGTTTGGCCAGCTTGTTGGGGAGAAGACCCAATCCCAGTTTGACCCCCTGGGGTTTTGGGGTGGCCAAAGGGCATGGGCCGCATAAACCTTCCCACATGCGGCCTGCAAGTGCTATCGACCACCCCCGACCTAAGGGAGTGCATGTGACGAAGCGGGACTGT